CACAGCATTTGCATTCGTCGACCAAATCTCAGATAATTGCCGGCAGACCTTCTCTAGTGCTTTAACAGGCCAGAACGCTGTGTTAACAAAGAAGAACCCTCCATCTGCTGCACTAGCACTGTTAGTGTCAGGGCTACTGCATTGGCCACGCTGGATGAACACTTACATACACCCACCGGCACCCTGATCATTTCTGCAAATAGCAGGACGATAAGAAGCGCGACAGAGCACCCGGGTCGGTTTTGCGACATGCATTATCTACCCTTGGGTGATTCGCCAAAACTGCCTGCACGCCCAGCCTTGCCCCAGCATTGATCGGGACGCCAGACGGCTAACCTCCGAAGCCTTCTTCTGTGTCATTGAACGGGGACATGTGACGGAACACATGTGTCTTTGGCGGGTAATTAGCCCATTCTTCAGCATCCTTCGTAGCGGCATTTGGAGTCGCTTCGGTACAGTCCCGTACAGAATCAATGACATGCTTCCAAGTGAGACACTCGGCAAAGTTACTTTGCGCGCTGTTTTGTGGATAGTCCTACCTTAGTTGAACGGTAGACTAGGCCCGTCCCTGATGCAGGCCTAGTTTCTTTAGACCAGCTGGCGAGAATATCAGCATGCGCATAGCGGCTCTAGCGCTCCTAGTATTATGCCGAGCAAGGATTTCATGTGAACAGAAAGGGCGTGGCCCTCCACCTTGTCCGGGACCCTCTGGTAGACTTGGAGCTGGAACGACAAGTTTGGAGCTGTTCAAGTGTTCTGTAACAAAGACAAGCGGCAACCTGCGTGGTGTTGAGACAAGACCAACGTCAACCACGGCCTTGTTGCCAACTTGATCGAGGTGCATCGAGTAGCGCAGGTCACCGTTAGCCCCTGTAATCAACAGGAGCAATATCCACCTCTGACAGCAATTCAAGGCGCCCAAGGCTGTGGGACAATTTGAACTTCATGCAAGGCTAGCCCACAAGAACGCCAGGTATGCAACCGAGACGAGCTACTGTCGATGGCGGGCATTGGTTGGCAGCCAAGTTTCCTTCCGTGGCTAGCTAGTGTGCTTGCGTATCGCAGTCACCTTGGCTCTCATCGAGGGTCCGGGCTTCACACCTTGGTTAGGAGGCGCAATATCAGCAGGCTTGATGGAGTACTGACAACACAACGATCCATTTTCCAGATGCCCCAGCATGAAAGCTCCGGAGTGGGCTGTAGTCTGATGTGGGTGAGCGCTCATCATCAGGAATCATGAGCTCCACTGCGGAATCTTGTCGGGGTAGGGAGGCCTTGTCCATCTCGTCGACGGGCGTATCATCTCTAGCGTCGCTACGGCCCGTCCACAATCTCCAAAGGCCGTCGTCCTGTTTGTGTTGAACCGTTTACAAATGGCCAACCTGTATCCGTAACCCCACTGACAGTTAATGCTAGAAGCGACGACGGGATGCCTGCCCTTAGAATATTCACATATTTGTATAAGCATGACAATTTCGTCAGACTGGACTTGTTAGAGAGTGAAATGATGATAGGATAACACCTATACGTATGTACAGACGATGCGCAAACAACCTCGCACGACAAAAGAGCTTTCAGCGCTGAGGAGATGAAAGGGCAGCAGGACTTGACGTTGACGATCCACAGCAATTCGTTGGAATAGTAAGCGATTCTGATATTGTTGTCGCACCAAAGACGGTGCGTACAGAATGGAGTGTTGTTAAACAGCAGTCGTGGCTACTTGGTAGCGCAGTGGTAGTGTGGCGCGTGGAAGGCCTTGCCGAGAGACGACAGAGAGAGGTATCGAGCAACCTGGCTGCTGCATAGAACTGCAGAGAGCTGCAGAGAGCTGCAGAACGCGAGTGAAAGGTCAATCTGTAGGGCGAGAGAAAATTGGAGTTTTGTAGCTATGCATGACGAAGGGCTGCTGTTACCGCGCTGTCGCACAAGAGTCGAGAACTAACAAGAACAAGAGTGTCTCGGTATGTTGGAGGCGAGGGCCCAGAGTAGATTGGACTGTGGCCACCGGACCCAGCTTGCTTGCCACTAGGTAGTCGGACGACGATCTCCGAATGAGCCGGGCGTCGTGTGATTTGCGTCGAGAGCGCAAGTTGGCGCAGTGATAGTATGGGGGACGGTGGACAGACAACAAGCGGTCGCGGGGGCTTCAGAGCTGGGTGCTTGTGCAAAGCCATTGGCGACAGCGAGATGGCAAGCAGGATGAAGAGGCAGGCAGTATTGGAGCCAATCACCACCTCGAGGCACGGGTACGTACCCAGCTACAGTACATCTAGACCTGGGCAATTGCTACCCAGGAACCTAGGAGCAGGGGAGGTAGAGGTTAGTGTTGACTGAGCTCAGTGACCTGACTCTGGTGGTGCTGCAGGCTGGTGAGAATCGCATCAGTCCCCCACGCTGACCAGCAACCCTAGTGGATGGAAGACGGAAGGTGAGCGGCAGGGCCTGTGGTCTGACAACTGTCCGTAGTACGAAGCACTGGCATGTCCATGTGTTTGCGGGCGCCGAGGGCGAAGAGGGTCGAGAATGATGGATACGATGTGTTAGCTGTGGATAGTCATGCACGATGGACAAGGTGAGGGCTGTGTTGGGGAGGGGGGCATGGAGGCGTCGGGATAGAGGTGTCGAAATAGAGAAGGCGTCGTGACCAAGGTGAAGTGAAGAGGGGAAGGTGGGAATGAGAAAACGTGGTGGAGTTTGGAGGTTTGATATCCAGGTACGTACCTGCGAAGGCCCACGATAGAAGCAAGGTAACAGACTGGGACACTAGATGCCGGATGGAGGAGCAGACGAGGGCTACATGGAGAGACTAGAGTAGAGACACAGCGGTAGCGAGTTTCGGAGGTATTCGGCCGATGATTCTAGTGATTTTTGTTTATCAGGTTTATCACAGTCGAGGTCATTTACGTGGTTTCCTTGTACGAGGCGGGTGTGACTTGGGGGGTGCTACCTACATAACTAGGTAGAGAGAGGTTCGATAAAGAGGCTTTTGAGGGGCTTTGGAGGCTTGACCGGGGCTTGAGGCTTGGGGCTTGGGGCTTGGAGGCTTCGCTCGCTGGAGACTTCGTCTGTGTAAAAGAACCCAGGACCCTCTCCCTCCACCTATCAGTGGCTGCAGGTAACTGGAGCTGGCGTCTGCATCAAATGAAACCCTAGGCTTAGTCGTTGCGAATATCTACGGAGCAGGTCTCTGGCGCAAGACTGCCTCTGAATAGCGTTGTTTTGGTGTCATTGGATGTTGGAGTCTCGCAATATGTATGTACCTTCTTTATGACTGTGTAGCAATGGAGAGGCAGGGTAGGGTAGGAGGTTGTACATACATACAAAGCTACCTACCTACATACATATGTACACACATCTAGTTGTCCCCGAGACGTCTATCTGGTGTCCCATTGTGCTCATCATGGTGCATATCTAGCTTCCTCGCTAAGAGTTGGATTTATGATGCTCTAATCATTTATTTGCAATAATGGCATGTTGGCCCTAGCCAGCTTGACAGGTACAACGTGAATATGGTGGTACAGCAGGAAGCGGGTGCAACGCAATACAACGCAACGCCCAGCATAAATTTAGCGCTGGCAACTTTTGGTGACACGCTATGGTACGTCGGTTGGCAGGTGGCAAGCGGCAGGTGCGCTGGTTTTGCCTGCCGTATGTACAAACAGGCAATTGGCCTAATAACGAGAGCCTATGTAGCTCGGTAAGTTATTGGAGGTATCAACTTTTAATTAAATGTAAATGAAATTTTACCCAAATCAATCCAAAATCCATGTAAGAATAACCACCACATCCAACGCCAGCACAATCGTTGCACAATTCAGCCCAAAAAAAATGCCAGTTAATTTGGCCCTGCAACTGCCAGATACTGGTAATACACGAATCCACCAAAGCCGATCCATCCTTGCGATGCGAACAACAACTCACCCCGTCCAGACCCAACGCCAGCTCCAGCTCCAGCGCCAACGCCAACGCCAAAGCCAGCCAACCAGCCAGCCAGCTCCATCTCCATCTCCAGACGTGACACTGCACAACACTTGTTAGTTGACCAGTTAACTAGCATTTACGGATACTTGTGTGCACTTGTTTTCATGGACCCCTCCCTCCCCTCCGTTCTCCGTTCCCCATCTTCATGCATGTCAGGACAGGACAAGGACCATTCTCTGGCTCGTCCTCTTCTTCCTTTCCTTTTTTCACCCCCAGACCATACCAGCTCACTCTATTCACGCCCTTCCCTTGTCTACTCTAGCAAACCGGCCTCGTCCACGAGCTGCCATCGACTACCTACTACCTGGTAGCTACCTCCAGTACCTTGCCTGCACTCATTCTTCTGCCTATATATCCCATTGCCCTCCAAACGTCATGATGCTCATCCTCCCACGTCTCTTTCCCCATCTATCCCCTTCTCTTCACTTCATCATCACTCTCTCTCCTTATTAGGCACCATTCAATTGGCTTGCTTTGCTTCGTCTTGTCTTCTGAGTCGTACCCTGTCCCCGGTCGCCTCTTCGACACTCCTCCCCTGACCCCTTCACGGCTGTCTCGCCCTCCTCCCGTCGCTCGTTTGTCTTCACAAAGGCGGCCAATTTATGCCCTCGTTTGCCTGTCACCCTCTTCTCTTGATCATTCAAAAGACCCTTTTGCGCCTGACTCACCCAGGTTCGCAGTCAATTGAGGTTTTCATGATTTGGCTTGGAGTTAGCTTAGTTGCTTAATTTGCTACTACTTCTCACATTGCTCTGCCGTTTGCTCGCCAAATCACCGTCGGCTTCGCTTAGCTCTGCAGCAACAAACAGCCTTTGCAAAGGAAAAAAATTCTCTCACTTGGCTATTTAATCACAAGAGATTCTCAGTCGTCTCTTTCTCCTCTTCCAAAGCCATTGACCTCGTCATCGTTGTCGTGTTGCTGCTGCAGGCGGCGCATGCAGCTTCATTGCTAGTTGCTTTTGTTATGCTTGCTTGCTCGTTTGCCTGCTTGGTCCCCCAACGACAGTCCCCACGACACCATGGAGCAAATCAATATCGACCATATCATCAGACCATTCTTCACCTTTCCGGTATTCTCTCGGCTCTTTACCGATTTTTGGTACTCGCCTACCTTCTGGTCTGCTGTTTTTTGGCTTCTCTGGTAAGCTGGCTAGCTGCATGCCTGCGCGGCTCCCATCATCTCGACGCACTGACTTACACAGCTTCAACCAGGGTCCATCGCTATCTTCGCCTCATTGTTCACTGCATTAGCCACTGGCTCTACAAGTCAAAGCCCATCGCAGCCAAGCCGACCTTTACCAATCAAGATGTCACCGTTGTGATTCCAACCATCCATAACGTGTTTGAGGAGCTTCGCCCTTCACTTCAGAGCATTCTCGCCTGTAAGCCGGCCGAATTGATCCTGGTGACTACTCATGATAAGAGAAAGGCCTTGGACAAGCTTGTTGCAACTCTCGGCTACCCTGCCATCCGCATCTTCGACACCCCCATTGCCAACAAGCGTCTGCAGGTATGCGAGGCCCTGCCTCAGGTCAAGACACCCATCACCATCATGGCCGACGACGACGTTACCTGGCCTTCTACTCTCCTGCCCTGGATTCTCGCCCCTTTCGAGGACCCCAAGATTGGTGGCGTCGGGACGAACCAACGTGTCCGCCGCGAGTGGGATGCGCCGCTCGCTGCTCGCCTATGGAACTGGCTCGGCGCCGCTTACATCGAACGTCGCAACTTTGAGATTTCGGCCACGCACAACATGGATGGCGGCACTTCCTGCATGTCGGGTCGCACAGGCGCTTATCGGTCGGAAATCCTGCAGAGCCACGACTTCTTGCACGGCTTCAAGAACGAGAGGTGGCGCAAGTGGATTCTCAACGCTGACGACGACAACTTTGTCACCCGCTGGCTCGTCAGCCACCAGTGGAAGACGTGGATTCAGTACGAGCGCGAGTGCGAACTCGAGACGACACTCGAGAACGGGCCCAAGTTCCTCTACCAGTGCACCCGCTGGGCGCGCAGCAACTGGCGCAGCAACTGGAGCAGTCTCGTCCGTGAGAAGCATGTATGGGTGTAAGTTGCAATACAATCCAGACCAGACACTTGTCGATCCCGACCCCAGCCAGCAACCTGCATGCCGCTAACACGCCAGCTTTCCCCCAACCATGCAGCCAGCAGCCATGGTCTACCTATGCCCTGCACATTGCAACCTTTACCTCGCTCGCCTTCGCCATCGACCCGCTCCTGCTCGCCGCTTGCTGGTGGGCCACTGCTGAGTGGGATCTTGGCAGTCGCCAGTACGCATTCTGGGCCCAATTCATCTTCATGTTTGCCTTTACCAAGGTCGTCAAGCTCATGGGCCTCTTTCGCCGCAACCCTACCGACATTTTCTATCTTCCTCTCTCCATCATCTTTGGCTATTTTCACGGCTTGATCAAGCTCTACGCACTCCTCACTCTTAACATGGTACGTTGACTCTCGTGATCCGGTCGCTGTCTCAGTCCTCGGTCGCAGCGCTAACAGTCAGCTGTGCCAGACGTCGTGGGGTAGCAGAGCAGACGGCGACACCAACGACGAGCAGCGTCTTGCCCCCGCTCCACGGCCCTCGGTCGTTCTCAAGACACCCCCGGGTCCTGCTTCTCTCATCCGATACAATGTACGTCACAAGGGGCGATTTGTACAGTGTCAGGACGACATGAACGCAACCTGGGAGAAGCAAGCATATGCTGCGTACGACTCCAGCACGTCCTATATCCCGATCCGAGTTCCCAGCGCCATGCACGGCGGCGCAATGGGCCTCACCGGCGAGACCATGGTGTCTTCCTACTAAGCAATGATCAGAGCTACAATTGAGTGCTGGAGCTCGCTCAGCTCTTCCCCCATTTTTTGGTTTTTTTCTGGGGTTCTTTTTTTTCATGACTACGACTACGACTTTCTTGATGAATTTGTACCACCAATGACATGCATCACCTCGAGAGGGTACACAGCACTCTCCTAGGGGACAGGTTCCTATAAAGCAAGACCAGGTTGCTTTGGATTTATCAACGAAGGTTGGGTTTTGTTTTTCCTTTATTTCTGCCGGTTGGCTGGCCAAAAGTAACTTCCGTTGGGTCACGAATAGACTACAGAATGGGGGTGTTAAAAGTTGGTTCTATTTACTGCGTTGCCAGGATGGATGCCTGGTACGGGGGAAAATTGCATGGGCTCTATGCTTTGGAGGAACGACTAATTGGGAGGAATTGTCTGGACTGTGAAAGCGAAGCATAGAGCAAGCGGGTTTGCGTGCATGGCTTGTCGTCGGATTGAGGGGGCATTCTCGGTCAAAGACGAGAGCCATTGTGAGTAATTAGGTCCAGTCTCGCTGGCACCGTTGATAGATGAATATATTCATGCATCTAGGGCTTCTTTGGCTATAGGCTACCCTTTTCTGTACCTTGGGAAGGTGGATTGTAGAAGTTTGGAGTGCAAATGAGGTGCAAATGAGATCCATGACGCAGGATGGCCTGCAGGCCGTCGCTCCGAGTGGTGTTAGATGTGTGGACATTGGATTGGCCGTTCGGCCCCGGTATCAGGATTCTTGCAGGTTGCAGTTTGGAGCATGCAGGTTCATGGAGCCAATATGCAAGCCAATATTTCGATGGGGAAACAGGGGAGGGGGGTGAGTGTGAGGTGTGTGAGTTGAGTTGTATGTCTATCTGCACACACGCACAAGTACATGTGAAGGCTGTCAGTATGAGGCTTGCATACGCTTGGTGGTGGCTGGCACGAAATGGCAGACATAAGCTTTTTTTCCCGGCCTGCAAGGTGTGCAGCTCTGGCTTCGGTTCTGGTTGACTCCGTCTGTAGCCTTGTCGCCCATCTCGATGCACCACTGCTGCTGGCAACGCACACAAACAGATATCCCTGCCCACCCTCGGAAACAGAACATACATAAAGCAGTGGGAAGCTTGCGTCCTTGTCGGCGGGGACTTTTCTTCCTTTCCCAAAATACCACCCACTGCCGACTCTGCGATCTCAGCCCACGAGGGAAGAGGATATAAACGACCCGGCAAAGGTTGAGCGTGAACGACAGCCGAGAGAAGAGAGCTACACTAGATGAAGGCCACGAGGACCCCCGACGCCTCCAAGGGGGGGGGTTTCCCCTTGACAAGAGGCAAGCAGCGTGCTTCTCGGCCTCGGGATTGCGATGCAAACAAAGGGACATGGCCAGTGGAGATGACGACCTCAACCTTGGTTTTGTTTTATTCCCACACGAGCCTGGTCACTGACTGCCCACGCATCCGTGTATACTGACTGGCCGACAAGAGGAACGGAAGACGAAAAAACAAAACCCCGTTTCGGCGCGGGTCTGTCTCCCGAGTCTCCTCCCAAATCGCGGACATCTGATGGAGATGTCGTGATTCCCCTCCTCTCGTAGAGACGACCCTCTTGTTATTATTATCCACTCCACATCCAACTCAACTCCGGACCGAGGAGCGAGACTTGACTTGGCTTGCCTGAAGTGTGGCGCTTCTTCTCCCCCTTCTGTTCAGGTCTCGGAGCGGAGGGCAAGGACAAGGACGAGGACAAGATGGGGCTGGCTGGGAATACAGACAAGAACCACCGTTGCATTGGGGTGGGACAAGGCGAGGTGAGGGTCATGGTGGGGGGGGAGGGGGGTTGGATTGAGGGATTGAGGGATTGAGGGCAGACAGACTGTTGATTTATTAGCTTCGCTGTGTTTCCGAGTTTGAAACGCGCACAGGAAAATTCCCTGGCGGCGCAGGCTGAAGGGGCGTGTGATGCTATCGTGCTACTGTGGTAGGTGGCAGCTGCCGAACTATCTACTTACAGTACTAAAGCAAGGTACATAGGTCGCCGCGTATCTTGGCCCAATGAGCCTCTCCATATACGATGCATGGCGCAACTTTGTTTTGCATCTCGCAACAACAGCAACAAAGATTGCAACGCCTGGTTTGTGAACCATGACAACCAGTGCTGGACAAGCTTGTTCATACTCGTCAGCAACATCAACAAAAGCGAGCTGGCTGGGATTCATCTCCACATGGGAAAAAGCGGCAGTTCCCGCAGACGGTCCGCAATCAACAAAAGAAGACCCCATCCGTGCCCTCATCCTGTGTCTCACGAAGCCCCAATTGAAGGCAAAGGGAAAGAGGAAAAAAAGAAAGAAAGAAAAAAGAGGGCGGCAAGCTCGCCGACAGAGGGAGAGTGACGACCCTCTTTCGCTGCGTTGGCCGATGTACATTGCATCGCCCATTGAAATAAGTAAAAAGCAATTATGAAGGGTCTTTTTTCTTCAACAGACGCCACCGAGAAGCACTGGCAGGGGACCACAGAAAAAAAAAGCAAGACCGAGCAGCGGCGGCGGACAAGAAACGTGAAACGTTTTTTTTTTTTCTAGTTGCGACTTGCGAGTGCTCGGGCTGATATTTCCGTCGCCAGCCCTGCGAAACTAATAATAAACCCTGGCGATGAAGCATGGTTATTGATTATACAGCATCTCAGTACGACGGAAAACACGTAATGAAATGGAATAGGGAGAAGGCGACGGATGAGGCAGTGCTGGAGGGCAGACAAGCCAGCCACGACACCTTGTTCTTTGTACTGATTCAGTAGTTACGTTGCGCCGCCGAGAAACGTGACGACTTGTTCACGCCTTGAAGTCGCAAGTAAATGCGGCGGCGCTGCTAATCGCTTTAGTGCCATGGTGGAATAGCAGTTGAAGTCGCAATATCACAAAGCATTAAGTTTCTCCGGCATGTGGCTTCTCCTCTTTCTTGCTTGATCATTCCTCTAATTTTACTCAAATGGCCTGAGCCATCCATCTATCTAAGCCTTGCCGATTGGCAGGATACAACCAACGGTGGCAACAGATTGACTACCGAATTTTCCCGGCCCAAGCAGCTCCAGAGTCTCCGCTATTGATCAGTGCAGCAGTCAGCCCCGAGGCCGAGAGAAAAGCAAGGGGGGGCGTGGTTCGCGATAGACAGGAGGGTTTTCCTTCGTGGAGCCGGCCGGGTGCAATGGCAATGCTTTGCATATTCCCCCCTCCCCTCCCCAAATCGCGATGGATCAAGGGCCGAGAGAGAAAAGTAAGTGAGTGAGAGAACAAGAAACACGACAGGGCCGCTTTTTCTTCGTTCTTGCCCTCTCTTGACACGTACATGCATCCTGGACTTCCGGACATTGATTGCCCCAGTAGGAAGGGGGAAAAGAAACATGTCATTCTGGCCGGCCAGCGAACGTGCAGATACACATCACGGGCTGATGCTAGTGAAATAAATAGCCGGGGAGGCTCAAAAATTCCCATGTGGAACGGCCCGCCCTAAGAAATAGGCAGCCAGACAGAGGAAAAACGGCCGACTTACCGATTGCCTACTTGTCCTCCCCCAATGACTTGCGGATAAGAAGGCTCTTGCTCTATGCTACCAGACGACCGAGAGCATTGACAAAGATGACCCAAGATCGACTCCTTCGTTTCGCGAAAGGCCTAGATGCAGCATCTGCTGCAGATGGAGGAGGACCTTCCATCACCCCCCCCTTTCCAGCGTGGGGTGTGTGCTGTCGTGGTCGCGTCCCATCGTTCGACGCCTCTTCAACAGGGACCAGGGTCCCTCGAATGGGGGAAGGGGGCGGGGAGGCGTGGTGCTTGCGAGATACTCGCTGCCAAGTGCTCTGCTGTTCTTTTGCTCGTTCATTATGAATCAATCTCTTGTTCTCTCAACAATAACTCTCAGTCAACTCCATTCAGGTGCATACCAGGCATGGGCTGCGCTGGGGGGTGTGGTCCCAAAGAGACAAAGAAAGTCGTCTTTTGCAAACACCGTTTCCCCTGTTAACTAGGTTGACTAGTAATATTGTATGTACAAAGCCCAGCGGCGCGCTCTCCTTTGTCCAGCCCTTCGTTCTTTCGTCGTCGTGCAGCAGCCACATGCGCCTCGCCTCGCCGCCAGCCAGCAAGAACTGACCTCCCCCCCCCATTCATTACAGATATACAATGCATTGCATAGGCTAAATGCTAAGCTACCCCAGTACTTTTTTTTTTTGTTTTGTATTTCATTTATGCGTGCGTGTGCGTATGCGTGTGTCTCTGCTCAGCTCTTTGTTCTCGGCGACAATGCACAAAGATGCACAAAGATGGGCTTCGTGTCTCGGATCACCAAAAAAAAAAAGAATGCCGGAGCCCTTGACGGGCGCAAAATGCGCAGCTCCGGTCGGCCAAGCCCCGGAGCTCCTCCCCCCATGCTCTCTTTATTAATGTAATAATATCCGTGATTATCGTGCCTTGATCGCGGCCCTATCAGTACACCCGGACAAACCTCCGGAGCTTGCAGGGCAAGGCGGCGCGCCAAGGTCGCGCTGCTTTATTCACCGGCGCTGGCATGTCAGTACAGATTACAGATTACTGTAGGCATACAACCAGCATCGTGAGGTTTTCGTTACTGCCATCCATGTATTACTTCAGAAATCCTTGGATGAACAAGCGCGCCCTCCATCCCTTGTGCAGCTGGGACTTTTTTGGGGCCAGCCTACTTTGCAAGACGTCAAGTTGTCGTAATGCTGCAGGCGATGATGGACGAGAACCGAGTCTAGAGAAAAAAGGGGTCCTTGTTGAGACATACATTTCGTGACATATCATTACCAATACTTGCTTTGATGCCAACCGGTCAACAGGCCGACGTACTTGATGTACATACTTCGTTTGTGCAAGGTCTCGATGCGCCTGCCGTTGCGCCAAACCCCAGATTCAGCCAATGACTCAGTTTCTGATGATGATGGATGTTCGTATACTGTCTTTCCTTTCCGTCCTTCTCCTCCAACGGCTTTCTGGGGCTTGCATGCCAGATGCGTCGGCGATGTGTTTGTGTGTGTGGATGCGTTGTTCCTCTGGCCTGTTTGTGTGTGCGTGTGGAGTTTTGCCTGCATCGCCGAGCCTTTTCCTTTGCCTTATTTGCTTATTACCTGCTCCTCCTCCTCCAACGATATCCCACGATGGGTGGCATGTCAAGTGGTGGAGTTGTCGACACGAGGTGCAGTTGACCCGTGGCGTCATAAACACACTCATCGTAATAAGCAACACAAATCATCAGCCCAGACTCGCTCTTTCATGCACAGCTTGATCGAGGCTTGCTGCAGTCGTGGGCCGTGTTCTGGGGCCTGTCAAAGAGGGAAAAAAGTTGAGCTATCACATGCAACCCGATGCTGACAACACCAAATCCTCAGCCATGTACGAGGAAATCCACAATGAAAGAATCATGATGTACTAGATAATGATAATAGACAAAAGAAAGGGAAAAAAAAAACTAATAAAAATGCTAAAATACTGAACGCAACGCTCAAGATAGAATGACGATTCGTGTTCACGTTTCCCGTTGCCAGCTCAAAGAAAAGAACAAAGCCGCCCACCCCCTTTGACTCATTCATTCATTCATTCATGCATTTACCCATCCAAAAAAGAAAGAAAGAAAAAAGCATGCAAGTGGCGATGCATGCACCGTGGCCGCGAATCCTTTGTCTCGTCCCTTTGTCTTTGTCCTGGCTCTGACGTTTGTTTTCCTTTCATTCAAAGCCCCAGGAATTATGCTTCTTTTTTCCTTTCTTCATCTTTCGTGACTTGACCGCCAAGAAACCGCGCGTTCTGAGCGACCTTGTCCGCCAGCAGCTTCTCCTCGCCCGTGTACACCCAGGCCACCGTTTCAGCCCACGCCTCCGGGTAGGGCATCGGCACCACGATCGTGTCGCCGAAGGAAACTTTGCCCGACAGGATGATGGCTGCTAGAACAGGGACGCGACATAATGCGTAGTAAAAGTCTAGTAGAGTCAGCAAAGTATTGGTGATTTTGCGATGGTGGTGGACGCGCGGGGCAGCAAGAAGGGACATTCACATTACAATAAATAAAAAAGAACTTACTCATGGGAACTCCATCTGGTATACTCTTCCTTTGGGTCGCTGCGGCGGCGGCGGCGGCCTTGACGCCCCTCCTGGGCCTGCTAGACGCTTGTGTCTTCTTCATGCCCGCGACGGCGGAGAGCAGCTTCTTGCGGTCAAAGTTGGGCGTCGAAGGCGACTGTAGAGGCTCCGGAACCATTTCGCTGAGCACGCTGCGTTCAAACTTGCGCGTCATCGTGAAGGGCTTGGAGCCGCCCTTGGGGTGCACCATGATCCTGATGAGCATGTTGCCGTCGCAGCTCGGCACCGCCGCCGTCCACGACCGGGGGAACGACACCGCCGCGACGTTGATGTGGTCCAGCTCCCGGCTGCCCAGGTACCTGCGGCCGGACGCCCACAGGATCTCCCGGAGCTGTGGAAGGGTCAGAGGCAGCTCGCCCTCACTAGCTGGTGATTGAGCCTCGTTCCCGGCGCTGTTGCGCTTGCGCACGAGGGCCCTCAGCGATTCGTTGTCGGTCTTGAGGGGCGGAGGCTTGACGCCGCTGGGCGGGAACCTTGGCGCGCGGGTGTCGCGCCTCCCGGGTAGGCTGGCAGGGGAAGGGCCCTCGGATGTGGCGCTGTCGGTGCCCAGGTCGTCACCGGATGAATCCGGTGACGGCGATGGGTGTCTGTATGAATGGGGTTTCTTGTCTACATCCGAGCGTCGGGGGGTGGTGGGAGCCGCCATGATTTAAGCGAGGTTTCGAGGAAGCGATACTGTTTTGCTGTGCTTGCCTTGATTATGTGTATGTATGTGTGTGTGCGTGTGTGCGTGCGTGTGTGTGTGTGTGTGTGTAAGTTGCCGTGTTGGTGAGCTGAGAGTATGAGAGGAGGAGAGAGAGAGAAGAGAGGGAAGAGCACCTGAATTGGTTCTTATATGAATCCAGAAAATATAAAAGGCTTCACAGGTCTTTCTTATATATATTCAATTATATTATATGCCGCGGATTTGGAACATTTCCTTGGCATTTGTTGCTGAAAGGGGGCCAAAGGAAGGCCATGGCTCCAGCTGAGCCAAGGAAGTCAAAAGGGTACAGATTAACTAATGTATTGGGATTTCACAGCCACCACATGATATGAAAGGTCCCTTCTCGTCACGTTATCCCGACAAGGGAAAACCTTGTTATGGAAGAGAGGGGGGGGGGGTTGAAGAACAAAGAAACACCCTGTCCGACGCTGGGCCACGGGCGATGCGTCGCTTTGCCCATACGGTGTCCTGTGCGTCCGGTGTGGCGTAAGGGAATCCCATACAACAAAGAACGGAGGAGCGATTTGGGAAGAAAAAGAGAAAGGGTGGGTGGTAGGTAAAGCTTACTGGTATGCGCGGCGCCACCACCATTTGCCCATGACAAAGGACGGCAACGTTGAAAGGGGAGACAACAGTAAGGAATATCTTGTCCGAGACATGCGAAAGGGGGAGGGGGGAACGTGATTTGAGTTTTATTTATTTTTCTTTTTTGTCAGCCTGCACATCAAGTGACCAAGCTGAAAGAAGATGATGAATTAGCTGGGTACTTGTCGTTGTTGCTGTTGTTCGTAGCCGCCTCGCCAAGCCGGCGTTGGAAGCCGGCGTTGGCTGTTGGTGGTGGGCGACGCTTCGACAACGCTGCAACAGTCTATCGAGGTCGGCATTTGAGATGCCGAGGTACCTGTTCCAGGTATGTATGAAAGTCCGGACAAGCAAATGAACGGATGGCAATTTTGCTGCGGTGACGTCGTCGGTCTCGGTACATTACCGACTTGTTTCTTGTTTGCAGCTGTTTGCAGCGGCAACGACTGGTAATTGTCCGGAGATAAAACCCAGAATGACCCAACAGCGAAGGCCCACTGCCCGCTCAGTTTGCACGGCAGCTAAGAATACCTCCTAATACTATTGCGGATAGGTACCCGCTCAATTACTATATACGTGCTAAAGTACGGATAAACCTATTGAATTGGCGCGGTACTGTGACTTTTCCGCCCGGCCTTGTACCTACCCTACCGCCTTGTTGGACGACCGTCCTCCTCCGCTTCTTGTTAGCTCGCCGATTTCCATCATCACCAACGTGTCTGGATCCCAAGCCTCCACGTCATCTCCTCTCTTTGCTTTGACATTGCTGGCCCACGACCTCGCTTTCAGCCTCATTCCGTCTCTTTCCTCCTTTTCTTCTTTCTCTTGTTTTCTTTTTTTTCCTTTTTGTTCTTTGCTTAGCGTCTCCGCCGCGGCGAAGCCTAGCCCCCTAATGTCTAATTCCACCACCTACAAACAGAGAAAGGAGGACTTTGTCTCCAACCTGTCCGGTGGACCGGTATCCGAGATCAACAATGTGACGGCCGTTGCCCTGGTAAGTGCTTCTTTCGCGATGGAAGAAAAAACTTTCGCCTTGTTGTTTCCCGTTATTCCGAATGCGCGTCCCCCTTGTCCGCAAACCCTCGCCTTTGCTTGCGCGCGCGGGTCGCGCAAACCGGTAGAGACAACGGGCCGGGAAGCACCAGATGGGGAGGAAACTTTTCCATCACCCGAAACAAAGCCAACAAACCACCGAGTGAATATTTTCCCGGGATAAAAATGGCTCGCTGACAAACGACCGTCACAGGTTGCCGTGCTGCTGTGGTCTGCCCTGCAGGCCCGCCACTCCTTCTTCCAGACCTCCGCCGCCCTCGGCCTCCTCGTCGACTACGGCCTCAACGTTTGCGCCATTCTGCTCGCCACCACGCTCTACTCGGACGCACCGCTCCTGTTATGCATATTCCTCGCGACTCCGGTAGCTCTCGTCTACATGCTGCCGCCCTCCGGGGGAAGCAGCAGGAAGAAGCGCGCCGCCGTGCCCCCGCCGCCCCCGCCGACTACAACAGCCGACGCGACCGGACCCTCCTCTGCCCGCAGCCTGGGCAGAGGAGGAGACCCGGCGGCCCTTGACGCCGTCCCCGTCAAGCCTTTCCTGACGACCTACCGCGGCTCCATGCAAATCATCACCTACATCGCCATCCTCGCCGTCGACTTCCGCCTCTTCCCGCGGCGCTTCGCCAAGGTCGAGACCTGGGGCACCTCGCTCATGGACCTCGGCGTTGGCAGCTACGTCTTCACCGCCGGCGTCGTCGCCGCGCGGCCCGTCCTCAAGGAGCGGGCCAGCGGCCGCGCGCTGTCTCCCTTGACGCGCCTGCTGCGCTCCCTGCGCCACTCGGTGCCGCTGCTCGCCCTCGGCTTCGTCCGCCTGCTCAGCGTCAAGGGCCTCGAGTACGCCGAGCACGCGACCGAGTACGGCGTGCACTGGAACTTCTTCTTCACTCTCGGCTTCCTGCCGCCCTTTGTCGCGCTCTTCCAGGAGATCCTGCGCCTGGTGCCCTCGTACGCGGCGCTGTCCATGTGCGTCGTCGGCCTGTACGAGCTCGCGCTCAGCCGGACGCCGCTCAAGGCGTACATCCTGACGGCCCCGCGCGGCCCCGACCTCGTGTCGATGAACCGCGAGGGCATCTTCAGCTTCCTCGGCTACCTGGCCATCTTCCTCGCCGGCCAGGACCTGGGCATGTTCGTGCTCCCGCGCAAGGTGAACCCGCGCAGCGACGCGCGCCCCGGCGTGCAGCGCAACACGCTGCTCATGACCATGGCCGTGTGGGCGGGCATCTGGGTCCTGCTGTACAACGTGTCGACAAGCTACAAGTACGGGCTCGGCCTGACGGTGTCGCGGCGCCTGGCGAACCTGCCGTACGTGCTCTGGGTCGCCGCGTTTAACTCGGTGTTCGTGCTCGGGTACTGCCTCGTGGATACCGTGTTCTTCCCCGCGTTCTACAACGCCACCGACAAGAGGGCGGAGCGTGAGGCGTATGAGTTTGCCACGAGCAAGCTCATGCGGGCATTTAACCGCAACGGCCTGGGCCTATTCCTTGTCGCCAACCTCTTGACCGGGTTGGTAAACATGACGGTTCCGACGCTGGACGTGTCTCCGGCGGCGGCAATGGCCATTTTATTGGCATACACTGGAGCATTGAGTATATTGGCGCTAGTGCTGGATGCCTACAACATTTCCATAAAGCTGTAGGAGATGGTCGTAGCGACAACTGTAGACAATATATTGACAAGTCCAACGAGAAATGTTGGACGTTTCCACATCGACATGCTCGTAACCTCCTATTACAATGTGCGGACAACCGGCTGCTATTGTTTTGATACTGGTTAGCTCAGGGTGATATTGTTGCTTCTATACCAAGGACACGGGCGAACGCAAAGCTTCGGTATGTTTTTGACGCGAGGCCGAGCTTGTTCACGAATGATAGGCAGAGACATTACGAGATTTAAGGCGGGGTAAGATCCATCGCCAGCCGACTCGGTCGTCGAGAGAAGTCTGGGTTTCCTTTTTTCTTTTAACGTGAGTAGTGAAACAAGGCACGAATTCAGCATCTTCATATAATGAGCCCTTGCCGCGGCTTCAGTCGATCTGCAAAGCGAGGGATCTGCAAAGCGAGGGATCTGCAAAGCGAGGGAGACACGAAAGCGGTACCGATGCTACCGCACATGCCTGAAGAGGTAACGAAACAAGGCCAGAAGAGGCGCAGGGCGAAATGCATAGATGCAGGGCGAAAAAGACAATGTGGCGGTGAGCATGGGTTGGGGAGCTTGATTGTTTCGATTTGTCTGGGCTTTGTTTTCTCTTTCCCATATTGGGAATGACGGCCGTGTGCTTTGACGTCGATATTGTAAGAGAAACGCGACTATCCGAGTGTTGACAACGAATAGACGGGACGAGTGGGCGGTTGGGCCGCAAGTTACTTTCTTCTTCTTTTCCTTGTCTCTACTTAGCCTTGAATCCTGCGACAAGATCTCGAACAATTGGCTACCATTGTTCTCGGGTAAATTGGCCGAGGCCGATACGATGCCTACCCTGTATGGAGTGTCGCTGCCGCATTTACGCCACGTCAGGGCTGATCGATTTCCTTTTTTCAAGAAGCAAAAACGTTGTCTTTACTCGACTTTGGAAATAGCATTTGCGGTTGACTTCTAACCACTGGACAGGTAGATCTCTCCGTGCCAGCGCATCGGACGATTTCATAGCCTTGCGAAACCAATGCCACGTGTTTCACTTGACGCGTCGAGGTGCCACACGCGTTGATGAGATGTTCGCAACTAAACGAGGTTACAATGGAGATGGACCTGCTTTTTTCCCTCGTCTTACTACTGCAGGCAGGGACGAAAATTGGACGAGTTAACCGCAATGCTTACAGCAAGGCGGGTTGTTTTGTCTATAGCCATCCTGGTGCGACGAGAAGCTTCGCTCGAGCTGCACCGCTGACCGTGATGCGCGGCTGATTGTATGTAGCCTCACAAGAGCGGTGCATACCTTGCGCATTCGGAATGAAGAAAGGCTTCGAGAAGCAAGTGTGGAAGTACGCTCAAGCCAGGCAGAGATCCGTGCCCTCTCGCTGGGATTTGTGCTACCCTGGATTGAGAAAAAAACAACAACACCAAGTAAATGTGGCGACGGATACAAGGAAAAAAAAGCTCCCTTCATCATTCATGTTTTATGCGCCAAGCCATGCCGTCGTCTCGTGTGGAGAGAGAGTCGAAGGGCACGGCATGACCGATATGTATTACATAGCAATTTACCCACGGCCCACGATTTTCATAGCGAAGGCGGGGGATACGATGATATCAGGCAGGGAACGTTCGAAGAGCAATAGCAATGCATTGAACTGGATTGAGGGGGCAATAGTTCGGTTAGTTGGTGGTCATAATTATTCGATGCTTTTCACAACCAAGCCTGCGCCTCGGCGCCGCAGGGCAAGACAAAAGAGACAGTCGGCGGACGGACGGGATGTGATGGAGAAATAGCGCGCGGGGAAGCGGCGCCGATGTGAAACCACAGGTGAAATGAGCGACGGCCTCCCTCTCTCGTTGAGAGAGAGAGTCTCAGCGGTTGACCGTGAAGGCCTTGTGTGCCCGGAAGGAGCCCGGGATCGATCACGGACGAGAGCAGACGTCAATGGCAGTCTGGTGATAACTAGCGGTTCATCCCAGGACGGCATGACCAGCGGAACAATGAATGCAACATAAGAACGGTTGTTTTTAAATGAGAATTTTATTTAATTTATAGCATTTTTCTTGCTCCGTTTTTCGGGGGGAGAGTGACATCGGTTATCCACCGAGGCTGGAAGCATCAGCGTGAGATGGGACTACTGTAAGAAGTTATACGAGTTGACTTTTGAATAATGTCGTTCATTCGGGAAGATGTCTAATTAGTAGGTACGTAATGCCTCTCAGTAATTGATTATTGCTTTTGAGAGTTTCGGTGGATGACAAGTCTGCCGGACAGCCGCAAAGTGACAAGTCCGTATCGAGTCTCCAGTAATCTGTACGTAGCCAACCCGCGTATGCAAGTATCCCGGCTGACAATTGAGGCAGTCTCGTCTTATTATAATTTATAAAAAAAAAGTAGCTGCCAGTCCCTCGAGCGCGGGCTGACGATGGACCGGCTCGGCCGACGCAAGGACGCGGTTCTCCCACCTGCAAGGCTCATCTCATGGTGATGCGGACAAAGAGCTGGACGCGTCGGTGCGCCTCCCTTTGTCATTTGCTTTTTCTCCTTGGTCTTCTTCCCTTCCCTGCAGGTACAAGTACCAGCCCGCCTAACTAGGTGTTTGGCGTTGAGCTTGTCTGGATAGGTACTGGTACGTGATGGGAAACTCCAGATGGTACCTGATGAAGGCTGAAAATAACACTGGACATTGGAGATGAGCACAGGGCCGGTGGCCCCACTAGTCGACTGGGGTGTGCACGGCTTGGATGCTACAAGAAATAACCAGGGCTGCGATGCCGATGATTGTATTTGTACCTGCCTAGGACTTCTATTGTCATTGTGATAATCAATTGGTGAGTAGGAAGGCCGAGGTGAGGCGGTGTTGGAAGTGAATGGCAGCCTGAGGAGCTAGGTATATATACATATATATGGAGCTATTGCAAAGACAATAGATACAAACAAGACCAATAGTCGCAGCAATTGACTCCCTTCCTTGCCTTGCTCTTCGTAGCTGTGTATCTGTACATGGCTATTTATTAGGTAGGTAGCGTTCTGTAACTACGTTAGTTATGGTTTTCCCAGAGCTCCATGACAATGCAATTTGCGACCGTCTGAATTCCCGTTTCGCCCTTGAGCTGAGCTCCTCTTTTTCTTGTCCCCTGCCTCGGAGCTTCCGTCGTTTCGGTCCAACAACTTTTAATTAACGTTTTGGTTCCTAACGTTAACTCTTCTTCTGCTGCCCTTTTTTGTCGAGTTGCCAGTTGATGACGACGCGATTCATGGTGGGCGAAAAGTGACAATCTGCCTCGTCGCGCACTTGTACTAGACGCAGCCTGCCTGCCTGCCTCAACTATCCAGTACGTACTGCTGTTTTCTTTTCTTCTTTCCTCATCACCAACCAGTCTTCCCAAGGCTCTCTCTCTCGCGGAGCTACCCTTGCCCACACCGCACACCACATGCACGCTAACAACGTCCCTGTCTAATCTCACGGCTGTTGCGGCGCACTGTCATCGTCGTGTTGAATGTGTGTGTGTGTGTGTGTGTGTGTGTGTGTGTGTGGGTGGCGCTGTGCTTGTCGTGTCTTGTCCCTGATCCCGTCTGTCTGTCCCTGTCATCGAACACGTTCCCACCCACTCATCCATCCATTCGGCCATTGCCTTGGCTTTCTTTCCCTTCTGCCCTCCTGCCACCACCCATCTATCACCCCGTTCTCCGTGGCTTTTGCGGCTCTCCTCTCATTCGCGCGCGCCCACCCACCACCCCCAAACCCAAACCCACTTGGCCGGGGGAAGTGGCTTCTGCCATTGTTGTATTCTGGCATAATAATAACACCAACCAGCAAGGGGGAACCGGACTGACTTGGCTCATCAATTCGACAGCTGAGAGCGACTCGTGCGTGGGTGTACCCTTACTTCCGATACGAAACAACGTCTACCTGGCTGCATCTTGACCAGCCTCCGCCTCGGCACCTCTTCGTCCAACGAAAAGGACTCGCTCAGCGCGCAGCATGAATTGAGAGGATCAACATCTTCTGCTTCCTCAGACTTGACTTGTCCCCGCCGGCGCAACGGGCGTTCTTTGTTTTTGTTTGCAACAGGCTACCTACACACAGCTCACCACCACCCCTGACGCCTAGCATACCAGAGCTGCTTGTCGGACGGAGGAGGCTGAGCCCATTCAGCCACTGGGCGTTGAAAGCTTCAGCGCTCTTGAGCACTCGTGCACCGCTAATCTGGCACCTGGACACCGCTAAGAGCCGCTAAGACGTGCTGAGAGCTGCTAAAAGTAGCCCAATCAGCGGTCGCCTAGGCCCATCACCTAAACGTTACCTGCCTTCCGTCTCTGGCTTGGCTGGGGCTCTCTCCCTTTCCTGTTGATCCTCAGCGCCAAATCATATTGTATCAACTCAACTCTAACCGCCCAGCTGCACTCCTGTGCATCGCCGTCGCGGATAGACGCCCGCTCTCCTTTCTTTTATTCTTCACGCGCAGCCTGCTTCGCCCAAGGGTTCGTCTTCATCAAAAACACGACAATCCCACCCTCATCCTTTTTCCTGGCCGCCCTCCCCCGGTCCGCACTGCCCTCCGCTCGCAACGACGACCTCTCGCGCGTCTTCTCCCTCATCTCATCTCCACGACGTCGCTCCCTCCGCCACTGCCTCGACAACCATGTCGGCTGCCCTGCAGAGCTCTCGTCATCAGCCACCACCTGCTTTGACGTCGTCTCCTCTGCCAGCGCCCAACAATCGTCAATACATGTCCGCGCACGCTTCACCGGCCCACGAATCCTACGGCTCGCTCCCAATCTCGCCCACGTCGCAGTCCTCGGGTCGTCCGCCTTCGCGCAAGACCAGCGCTGCCGCTCATCCGAACGACATCGCCGCCACCACCACCCTCGCCTCGAGGCCTGCCAACAACGCTGCCTTCAATTACAATAGCCCCCAGTCTGTCTTCGCCGACCCTTCGTCCGGCATGGCTCCCTCCGCGCCGCCCCGGACCTCGTCCAGCCACCAAAATGGCTCCTCGCGGAAATACACGCCTGATAAGCTCGCTGACCCCTCGAGGCACGTCCACGCTGAATCCAGCAGAGGCGAGCATCGCCACGCTGACCAGAACGGTCACTACGACTCTCCCAAGTCTCGTCGCACGCCGCCCTCTCACATTGCCCACCAGGATGCCTCCCGGCAACCCGGTAGTCGCGATGGTCGCCAGCACGAGACTGTCATGCCCATCCGCACCCATCAGACCGACAGCCCCAGGCGTGCTGCCGAAGCCCCCGACACCGTCGGTCTAATAACCACGAATCCTGACCAGTCGAGCTATCGCCAGAGTCCGTCCAGAGACAGCGCTCCCGCGCCGTCGGTTCCCACAGGAACGCCTGACGAGCGTCGCCGGCGACAGGAGCACCCGCGAACCCACAGGACCTCGAAGTTCGGCGACTTCATTCTTGGAAACACAATTGGCGAGGGTGAATTTGGCAAGGTTAAACTTGGTTGGAAGCAAGACAGCAGTGTGCAGGCAAGTCTCGTTCCACAAACAATTCCATGTCACGCCTCCTTTTGCGATGCACTAACATCCATCCAACAGGTTGCCATAAAGCTGATCAAACGCGATACTGTGGGATCAAACCCGTCCCGCCTAGCCAAAATTCGGCGTGAAGTTACCATTCTGCGTGGCCTACACCACCCCAACATTGTCCGATTGTTCGACATGGTTGAAACTGATAGATATATTGGCATTATCCTCGAATATGCATCTGGCGGCGAACTCTTCGACTATATTTTAAACCACAGATACCTCAAAGACAGCTCAGCCCGGCGACTCTTTGCGCAGCTCGTGTCCGGTGTTGGCTACCTGCACAAGAAGGGCATCGTCCATCGCGACCTCAAGCTCGAGAACCTACTCTTGGACAGCAACCGCAACATTATTATTACCGATTTCGGCTTTGCCAACACCTTTGATCCCCACGAGGAGCTTTCGGAAGACGAGGAGAATAAGCTGGGAGATCGCGAGCAGGTCAAGCGCCTGGGTCTTGATAGAATACGCTCCAACGGCATGCGCAAGGGTGATCTCATGCAAACCAGCTGCGGATCCCCTTGCTATGCGGCGCCTGAACTTGTCGTCAGCGATTCCTTGTATACTGGCCGCAAGGTTGATGTTTGGAGTTGCGGTGTTATTCTGGTCAGTCATGAATGTGCTTGTTCACCGGCTTTGATGCTGACCTGCCCTAGTATGCCATGCTTGCTGGCTATTTACCCTTTGACGACGACCCTGCCAATCCCGAAGGCGACAATATCAACTTGCTATACAAATATATCGTGTCCACCCCCCTCACCTTTCCCGAATATGTTACGCCACATGCTCGCGACCTCCTCCGCCGAATCCTCGTTCCCTTACCTCGAAAGCGCGCTGATCTCTTCGAAGTTGCCCGGCACAGCTGGCTCAGTGAATACGCGCACGTTGTTGAATTCATCACCAGCTCAACTACCTCACCGATGGACGTGCAAAACGGCAGCACTGGTCTCGACGAGTTTGACGCGCAAAACTCCAACACTGGTATTGGGGAGTTTGATGCCCCTATGATCACGCGCAGCGCATCGGTTCGCGAGGCCGCCAAACAACGATCCCCGCAGCCCGCTGTCGGTGGTCTCTCCAAGGCCTATGCCAAAATCGATTCTCCGACCGACTCTTCACACCGCACTACAAAGGATGCCAAGCGCCGCACTGTGCAGGTCGAGTACGTTGCGCCCACGACGCAAACCCAGCGTGGCGTCGACGAGCACGGTCGGGATCTCGCAGCCACCTCATACTCCGCGCCTCGCGACAAGCCTCTTCCCATGGAACCTGCGCCGCGAGACAAGTACGGCCGTTCGGGACAGCAGAAGGCTCCTCCTGTATCCATCAACTCGACCAAGCCTGGGGACGGCCGTTCTGGAACCGACAATGCCTACTTGTCTGGTGCGGGCTCAGGCGCACGACCTCAGACCGGAGGTTCCATGCAGTCTACTGGATCTATGGGCCTACAGTCCCGAGTGCTCAACTACGGTCAGCCGGCGCCACCTACTGTCGAGAACACGAATGCACAAGGACGTATCCAGCAGCCAGCTCATGCTGAAGACGAACTGGTGAACCGCAATAGTATGACTGTGCCACCCAAGTTTGCTCGTGTATCTGGTTTCAACGATTCTCCTCGCCCCGTTGGCGAGGTTCGTGGCCACAAACGCTCAAGCACGCTTGGTGATCTTGGCTCCAAGATTCTCGGGCGTAGCGGCTCAGTATTTGGCAGGAAGGGCAAGCGTCCGGAGCCTCAAATGGCAGAGAAGAAGAAATATCCCCCCATTAGCATTGCCAACAACATGGCTGGTGAGGAGCCGGGCCGTGCTTCGATGGATTCCAAGTTCTCGGGGGGCCGTCGTTCATTTTCCCTCGGTCTTGGCAAGAAACGAAGTGGCAGTATAGCACCCTCACAAGGCTCAGATGAGAAGAAGGAGAAACGTCGGTTCTCTTTGCTTCCAGCATCGTTTTCCTTGAAGGCGATTGGCTTGGGCAAGGATAATGGCGATTCGACACCATCTGATGCTGGATCGCGAAACGATCTACCTATCCAGGATCCTCGAGCTGAGCATGTGAGAAACTTTACTGCTCCTGGCGATGCCAGAGGTAGCACTCCGTTCTTTGACGACCTGCCCGCCAACAACAACGCCGTTGCGCAACCACCCGCCAGTTCGAGCCCCGGTCATCAGAGGTTCCAACCGGCACAGCTGGATGGGCGCGGCGTGGATGCGACCCCCACGTATGTCCGACGAGGATCGCAATATAGAAATGGCTCACAATCGCCTGCGGATATGCGTCGACCACCCACGGAGCCCCAGGTGGGATCATACCGCGCCGGCGTACATACGCCAGAAGGCTATGATGGCCGCCGAGTCGGGACGAGTGGTGGGCACCCACACCGCGGGACGCTCCAGAAGAGCAACAAGCGATTTACGGACGCCTACGAACAGGGCGGATTCCAGGGCCACGAGGGCAGCAGCGGCGCCGCCAAGCGTGTGATGGACTTTTTCCGACGACGCGGCAAGGCCAGAGGCGGCGACGAGTGAGGAAGATGAAAGCGATATACGACGATTAATATCCGTACCCGAGCATCCATCCGATTCAGCGGCCAGTCTCGAAAGCATGCTCAGCACGTGTCGCGCCCGCAAGCTGAGCACCAGCGTCTCATGATTGGACAAGGGTGCATGGCCGCCTGGCCCCGACGCACCTGAGACGATTTTAAAAGATCCTCGATACGATTGAATACCCGTTTTTGCAAGACGATATATATACATACGTGCGAAACACTGGCTAGAGATGACCCCTCTAAATATGGCGGCGGCGCATCGACGAGCTACGGACGATTGTGCTAGAGAATAAATATGTGAAGCACAGAGGTGGAATCATGGAGGCTGGAAGCATAAGAATGGCCATTTTTCCAACTCTATCTGGAATTTTTCTCATTGTTAGGTGTTTTTCCTTTGTTCTTCCTTTGAAGTTCATTTTCTTATGTTGCGCCTCGGTGTTCACGAACCGCAATGCCTCTCTGTATATGTCAGAACGTGAGCTAAGGCGGTGGTATGCGTTTCATGTGTTTTTTTGTCATCATCTTTGTCATTTGGCTTTTTACGGCCTCTCTTCTCCAGCATGCATCTGAATTATTTTATGGCACATCTGTTTTTTGTTCCAAGAGAACCAGAAGAAAAGACAGAGGGAGAGGAAGAGGGAGGTTGTCAGAGCATGAAGGAGAGGAGGGGATGGGATGCAGTTTTTTTGGTTTTGATGTTTTTTTTTTCTTTTTCCTTGTCTCCCCTGCGTGTTGATTCTGCTTTTTGTTATTGCGCTTTGAGTTTTATACCTGATTTTGAAAATATTGTGAGCATTAGCGATGCGATAGGGTCAAGTCTTATGATAAAAGAAAGAATGAAAGTTCTCATGGTCATCTTTCTTGCTTTCTTGTTCGCTTGCATCGTAAAAGTTTTAAAATCAAGGCGTTCGTCTTTAAACAAGCCTTGTCCTTGGCATAGAAAACTTGGCATAAATGCCCGGCTTGGCGTGACGGGGCTTGATGCCGGCTTGTAGGGGATGTCGCGTGACTCTTGACTAAAGAAGGGTTCAAAGATTGGAAAGAAAGAAGGGGAACGATCTAAGGGTCTTGGGGAGAACAGGTTGTAACTACTGAACGGCAAGGTGTGATAACGCGGGGCCGGTGTGCGGGCTAGAGGCATTCCTAGGATGGCCTACGACATGGTGACGTACTCGGCTTTTTCTGTGTATGAAATGCGAAAGCTGGGAGTGGCTTGGGCGGGTGGCCCTTCCGATAAGGGGCTACTTGGGGATGGCAACGTGTGATTCGCAGAACACGACCGAGCGTATCTACAGCTGATCGAGTTCGAGCAATTTTTCTTGTTTCATAGATGGCCTCAGCGCGGGAGGTGGTTGTATCGAAGCGCCCATACTTTGGTAAAAAGTGACAATCGGGAGTTGTTCGAGACAAGGGCGATGGGTGTCTCGGCTAGGTCGGGGGGCTATGTAAGAACCCGACTGGAAAGGTGACAGAAGCCGGCAAGTGGTTCGTGATGTACGGCGTACGTAGGCGCTATGTGTGTGGCGGGAGGTGAAGCAGCAAGTGGGTGACGCTACAGGTTGGACTTGTGAAGCGCGTACAGATTACGGAGTAACTCTCAGCAAGACCTGCTTCCTCGTTGACGCCCGGAAGACATTTCATCTATTTTGGAAAAGAAGTGTCGTGCTGCGTACGGATAGCGTTGTCGCCATTCGGATCCGTTGGTGGTCCGGGCCTGGCGGACAATGACGAAGGCAGGGCCGGGCGCAAGTAGTTGGGCGTGTTTGACGGCGGGTTTCGCACAAGGGAAACCTTGGGGCGATGCTATTCTCCATCTTGCCAAGTTTCTCGTGTCATCGGGAGCGAATTCGGCCAGGCTTGCATTGGGCAAAATGTAGCGGTAAATGCATTGACGTCCTCGATTGTCATCCGGGTCCAACGGTGATGTGCCACGACATGGTGTCCGCTTTTGCCCACCAGCGAATCGGGAGACGGGGCGCGATGTTTTGCTTGGACTGAGTGACGACGATAACGTGTTTATTGAGGAAACACCGTCGATGTCGGGGGCCGCAAGTTGGCGGCAGCAAACGGCTGGCAGTGATCTATCTAACCGCCCCAACAAGTCAGTCACTCATCAATCATCCATTCATCGCTAGTCACGGCAAGGTGGTAAAAGGACAACGGTGCGGCGCAGTGACGCCCAAAGCACAAAGGTCGTGGAGAATGTGCGTGCTTCGGAAATGTGCCATCATGACTGGCTTGAGTCCGTCCGCCATCCACCCCTCCCCTCCTAAAAGAGGTTGCCGGCTAGTTTGGAGCTTGCCCGCTCCGCTGACTTGGTAGCGCTTTTCTTGCTGACGTCGCTTGGTAGTGTTGGGCTGGCTTTCGGAGACGGCGGTGCAAGATGCAAGCTTCCGTGGCCTGGGTAACTTGAGTTCGTCGTGGATGCTTGGCTGGTGATGGAGGCAAGGAAGCGGGAGAAGAAACAAGCTTAGATCACGTCAGTGTGCATCCATCGTGAACCAAGATGAGGCGGTGCATGTGGCACAGGAGATGTTGGTGATTAATTAGGTACAGGCGACCTTAAATTAGGCTTTGTTTTGCCAGCGCCACCGTGTGTGCCTCTCCCAGATTTTAGCAGGATTGAGCAAGGCTTGGTGTCCACTTGGGCTGCCTCTGGGAGTCACTAGCCACAGCCACCTGCTATTATTGTCGTGTGAGTCGTCTGGAAGCTCGTAGAATGTAGCCGCGAAGGGTTGATTGTTGCGAATTCTTTTTCACTGCCGTTTCTGTGTACTTGGTTTGCAAATTGATTAGCCAAGACAAAACCCTTTCCTGTGCCAGTTCAGTTCCACCTGTCTCACCCCTTGATATGACACCACACCACCTGGCTAAGACGCGGCATCAGATTAGTAGGTGTACATACATAGATACATAGATGGGTGCCTTGTAGCCGTCCATCTTAGCTTGAATCTTGCAGACAGGCACTAGTTACCCACTCACTGCTGTGGGCCTCTCTGTGGCCACTCCTGCCCGTCTTGGCCTGACACCTTGCCTCCCTCTACCACTACCTGCCTATATAGATCCCCCACACCACATCCTCCATTTCCTTCTTGGCCTCTTCTTGGCCTCTTCTTGGCTTCTTCAATCCCCTTGCCTGTTGCTTCCTCTCATTCTGCAACATCGTGTGGCCCATCAATTTCTTATATACGCTCTTCTAATCCAGATAATAGCTACCTCTTGCTCCCTTTTCTGTGTTGCTGCAGCTTGTAGATTGACATCGTTTCCCCTTCGCCAACAAACGGTCGACCAACCCCCCTCGTCCCTCAACCTCTTCGATGAAGGAAGACTCTCCTGTCCCTCCTGATATAGATGGCCAACCGTCTATCTCTGCAACTACCAACACCGGAATTCCCGGCCTCTCGTCGTCCACTCGACCCTCCGGCCGCATCCAACCGTCGCCCGGTTCACTAGGCACCAACGCGTCGGCCCCCATCATCACCAGCACCAGCACCAGCACCAACAGCAACATCACTTCTACTCGACAGGACAGCAATGGCCTTGAACGTGCCTCGACCAGCCCTACTGCGGGCCCCCATGCCCCTCGCATCGACAGTGGCGGCTTCTTGCGCTTCCCTCGCGGCCTCGACGGCCACTCCGTCAGCGCCCTGTCCAGCAACCTCTCCTCGGTCACATCACCGCAAGACGAGGGGCAAGGGTCTGTCATAGACACCAAGGAGCAACAACTCGACACTTTCAACCGTCAAAACACTGACGAAACCACCAATGGCAGCCATGTCAGCGACAACGTCAACACTCCCTCCAAGCGCACCTTCATTCAGGAGGCTCGTAGAACCTTTTGGCTCGTCGCCACCCACAGCTGGATGAACCTGCTGCTCATTTTTGTCCCCGTCGGCATCGTTGTGGCCAACATTAAAGGCATCAACGGCGGAATTGTCTTCGCCATGAACTGCATTGCCGTCGTGCCCCTCGCCGGTCTCTTGAGCCACGCTACCGAGTCTGTCGCCAGCAATATGGGAGACGCACTTGGCGCGCTCCTCAACATTACCTTTGGCAATGCTGTTGAGCTCATCATCTTCATCATCGCCCTCTCCAAGAATGAGATTCGTATTGTCCAGGCCTCCCTTCTCGGGTCTATCCTTGCCAATCTGCTTCTCATTCTCGGCATGGGCTTCTTCCTCGGCGGCTTGCGCTTCCGAGAGCAAGTCTACAACAGCACTGTCACTCAGATGAGTGCCTGTCTTCTCAGCCTGAGTGTCATCAGCTTGGTTCTCCCCACCGCCTTCCATGCCTCCTTCAAGGACGATAACCTTGCCAACGAGCGCTCGCTCAAGATTAGTCGCGGCACCAGTGTCATCCTGCTCCTCGTCTACATGCTCTACCTTCTCTTCCAGCTCAAGTCCCATGCCTATATGTACGAGTCAACTCCGCAGCATATTGTTGATGCCGAGGCCATACCCGGTCCTGCCGCCGGATGGCTCAACTCATCCAGCTCCGACGATAGCTCCTCATCTAGCTCCGACTCGGACGACTCGAGCCGCTCCAAAGATACTGTCCGCAAGAGGATGCGCAAGGTTCTACGCCCTCGTCGCCGCACCAAGTCTTCCACGGCTTCCCAGGACGGCTACGATAAGGATGGCCGTTCTTCATCTATCGGAACCAACAACACTAGCCCCCGAGATGAAACGGGGAACTCTTCAACATCACTTGCCAAGCCTCCTTTCTTCCCCAGAATGCCTTCGGTGGACAATTCGGAAGAGGCCATTGAGGAAGACGAGGCCCCTAGAAAGCATGGAAAGGACCGCCGTCGTCGCAAGCATCGTCACTCCAGCAAGACGCGCCACAAGTTCTCCCGCCGCCGCGAAAGTCTTCCTGGCGATGGCCAGCCCGCGGATAACGGCACCGGCTCGGTTCAGAATGACAATAACGAGCCCAAGCGTGTCGACTTTGCACTGCCCAAGGACACTATGCCTACTGCCAGCGAAGATCAAACCCCACCTCTCACAGGTGATGCCACTGCGCAGGACCAGACATCAACGAGGCGTCCTGCCTTTCAAGCTCTCCGAACTATTTCTGTCCGCAACCTCGCGCCCACTGTCTTTGTGCAGAAGCCTGATCCTGCGGATCTGTTCCCTGCCCCGCCCCCCGGTCCGGTTCCTCGTGTTCGTTATGGCATCCGTCGCACAAACTCGCTCCCCGATAGGCTGTCTCAGTCTCAACAGTTTGTTCGCGCTCCCGGTGGCTTCTTCCCCGCGCAGGTCCCCTTGACGACTTTCCGCACTGGCATGGTTCCTTCGGCCGCTGACCCCGAGGTTGACGATGACGGCCACCTCACCAAGTGGGCGGCCATCATTCTGCTCTTGATTACTACTGGTTTGGTTGCTGTCTGTGCCGAATTCCTGGTGGGCTCTATCAAGGACGTGACAAGCGAGTCGTCTAGTGTGGGCGAAATCTTTATCGGTCTCATCATCTTGCCTATTGTTGGCAACGCGGCCGAGCACGTCACCGCCATTACAGTCGCGATGAAGAACAAGATGGACCTGGCTATCGGCGTTGCTGTCGGTAGTTCTATCCAGATTGCCCTGTTTGTGACGCCTCTGATTGTCATTCTGGGCTGGATCATGAACCGTGAGATGACGCTCTACTTTACACTTTTTGAGACGGTCTGCCTCTTTGTTTCGACGTTCATCGTCAACTTTCTTGTCTTGGATGGTCGCAGTAATTACCTGGAAGGAGCGCTGCTGTGTGCCGTCTATGTGATTATCGCCGTCGTGGCGTTCTTCTATCCCAGCCCTGCGGAAGCGAGCAGCTGGGGTAGTTAAACAAGGATGAGATCATTGGGTGAGACGATGAGTGCATCTCTGTGAGGATATTATTGTAGCTTTCTCATGTCTTACGAAAGTGTGGACATTTATCTCTTTATCTCGTTTCGTTCACTTATACATGAGTTCAACTCGTACCTAGAGATTGAATCAGGCAACAACTAAAGGAAGAAAGAAACAAACTTTGGCCCTTTGCGAAACCGCTGAATTAACCTGCTTGCACCACCTGACCCTACCTACACAATAACTTGATGATTACTTTGAATTGGACTTGGATGTCACCTTTACTTGCAAAGACTCTGGTAGCGCCATGTGCCCCCCCCGCGACACGGCCGCTCCGCCACAATGAGGCGCTAGCTTGAGCTTGGCGGCCTCAGCCTCAACGCCAGCTTTCCTTGTAGTTAGTCAAGTTACCCATTGTCATCACACTCGGATTCAAGTTGCTTGTATCTCACAAGCCGGGCGACGCAGGGCGGCAAAGCAACAGAAGTTTAAATATCCCTGATTCCCGTCCTCTGCCACGCAGATTATCAAAATCCCTTTCCCAACACTCTACGTAAGCGCCGGAAACAAAGTTCAAGCATCAGGAGCTCCCTCCTGTCAGCCTTGCCCCAACTTAAACAAGCCAACAAACATCAAACAAGCAGACAACGCTGCCAGCTTGAAACGTCATCATGTGTTTCGGGAAAAGGAATGAGATATCCGATGACCCTCCCCCACGACCTGCTCAAAACTACCAGAACCAGAGCAACCCCAGCAGCACAAACGACACCAAGATGACCAACTTTGCCAGCAACAACCCCTACCACAGCCGGCCTGGCAACGCGGCGTCAGGACAGCAGGAATACGCGCCTCCTCCTGGCCCGCCGCCCTCCCAGCAGCATCACCAGCAGTCACAAGGCGACTTTGCCCCCCCTGCCGGACCGCCGCCATCCCACAAGCCGCAGCCGCCGCAGGACGAGTACGCTCCGCCGGCTGGCCCGCCGCCCTCCAAGGGTCGCGACAATACCAGCTGGATAGCGCCTCCGCAGGACGGCCCGTCCTCGGCGGCGGGTTCTTCTCAGCAGCATAACTGGGAGGCGGCCGTGCCGGACACGTCGCAGCTGCCGCCCCCTCCGGCCCTGTTCAACGGCTACGACCGGTCGCCGGCGAACAACGCGACCGAGGACGAGTCGAACGCCGGCGAGGCGTGGTGCGCACAGAACCCACTCCGGGGACCGATTCAGCTCGACGCGGCCGGCGAGGCCGCACTGCGCGCCAACAACTTCTGCCTCGTCGAGCCCCCCGGGTTTCGAGGCCAGACGACGTGGAAAGGCGCGGGCTCGTGGGCCGTCACCTCGCCGCGTGGCTGCTCCGACTCCACGCTCATCAGCTGGCCGCCGCAGTACGTCGTGTCGGAGCACGACCCGACGAGGACGGGGCGTCGCCGGACGATCTACTACGAGGTCAAGGCCGACCGCTGCAGCGACAGGGCCAACCTGGCGCTGGGCTACACGGCGATGCCGTACCCGGGCTTCCGCCTGCCCGGGTGGCACCGCGGCTCGCTGGCGGTGCACGGCGACGACGGCCACCGGTACGTCAACGACACCCACGGCGGCAAGGACTTCACGAAGGAGTTTGTCCGGGGCGAGACGCACGGCGTGGGGATGGTCATCGCGCAGTCGGAGAAGGATGCGTGCAGGGCGAGCGTGGAGGTCTTCTTCACGCGCAACGGGAAGAGGGTCGGCGGCTGGAATATACACGAGGAGACGGACAGTAACGAGGACAAGCCGGTCACGGGCTTGGAGGGCTTTCACGACTTGTACGCAGCGGTCGGCATGTTTGAGGACACGGAATTCGAAGTCGTGTTTGATCCGGCCAAGTGGCTGTACAAGGGCGTCAAGAATGAGTAGTGGTTCAACTGCAACGGAGGAAATGGACCAGCGATGTGTTTTTCTTGGGGCGAATACTAGCAAGTCGTTATTGCTATCGAAATAGATCTATTAGAAATGAGATTTCTTTTTGAATCGCCATGTATTAATGCTGTAGTTTGTATACAACTCATGCCGCTCTCGGTCCCCCCCAGGCCGGCCGGCCCCACCCAAAGCAAAGGTCTCCAAAAAGGTTATCGCGTGCCGCCAGGGCCTTTCCTCCACAACGCCCGAGATTCTGCCCTCTCCCACACCAAATCATCGCGCCGCGACGTCCCTAACCCGCTTGCGCGCGTGACCAGCCCATCATGGTCGCCGATGACGGCATTGATATCCTCGCCCGGGTTGCAGGCGGCGAAACGCTCGAGCTGTACGTCCTTGAACGAACTCCCACGACGGGGGAAGGAAGCCTGACCGCGCCTGCCTGCCCGCTTTGCTAACTGGAGCCCAGGGACGCCTGGCCTGCGCTGCAGATTGATATCCTCGCGCGCTTAGAAAAGGTATGCCCCTCACGACCACGCGGTTTGGACTTTTCGTAAGAGGGCTCGCAATGGCTAACGAGAGAGCGGTAGATTGCGCACACGGAATTCGCCATCCCCAGCCTGCCCCCGCCGCCCCGACTGCGACGGTCCCTCGACAACGGCGCAGCCGTGTCCTCGTCGCCGACGGCCGAACCCTCATCGCAAGAGGCCGACAAGGAGAATGCGCCGCTGCCCGCTGCCCGCGAGGCCAGGGGCGGCGGTGATAAAACCGAGCAGCAGCGCACACAACCCACGGAAACGACGACGACAACGACAGGCGACGATGGCGATACCGTCATGGAAAAGCCGGACGAGGCCAGCACAGAGACACCAACCCGCGAAGTGTCAACACAAACGAACACACAACAACCGCCCGTCGAGCCCTCGGCAGAAACGATAGCGACCGACGATTCTGGCGGCACGAGCAGTCTGCCAAAGCTCCCGATCCAGCTCGCCGCTATGCTCGGCGACATCCAGAGCCACATCCGGACCTTTGTCCAGGCGCCACCGCACACGCTCCAGCGCCTGGCCGAGCTCGTGCTGCGCCCGCGCGCGCACTACCGCGCCCTGGCCACGTACTTGCACGCCGTCGACCGCGTCGTCCAGGTCACCTCGGGACTGAACACGTACCCGCTGCCGCCCGCCATCCCCGACATGTCGTCGATGCACATCAACGGCGCCGACGGCAGCAAGGACCCCGCCGCTGCGGTGAGCTGGAGCACCCCGACGGCCGGTGCCAACAGCAACAGCGCGGCGGCAGCCGTAGGCTCCGACGAGGCACTGGGCGGCGCCCTGCTGACGCCGATCCCTTGGCTTACCCGCCGTAGCCCGGAGAGCGTCGACGCCACATCGACGAGCAGCGGCGCTGGCAGCACTAGCACGGGCGGTGCGAGTAGCTCTAGCGGTGCAGGCGGCAGTGGCGGTGGCGCGCAGATTCACAGCGAATGCACTGAGACGATTGACGGCCCTAACGGCATGGGCAGCATAGAGACGGTGTCGGTGAGCGTCAACGGCGTGCCGTCGACCGGCCACGCGCGCGGCGTCACCCAAGGCGAGCTCCTAAGGCAGGAGCAGCGCGCCGGCGTCGTGCCCGTGAGCCAGCTGTCGCGGAACGGCGGGCATCCCGGCCACTCCATGCAGCAGCAGCAGCAGCAGCCGCTCCAGTCGCAGCGCGAGGCGGGCGCGTCGCACGGTGACGGATCCGACGAAGAGGATGACGAGGAGGATGGCGAGCACCACCAGCGCCGGCACCCTGACCACCAGCCGATGGACGAGGAGCAGCGGCGCCCGCCAAACGCCGCCACCGACGACGACGACGGGGTAGACGGGTACAAGAATGAGGACGACGACGAGGAGGGGATCCCGCACGCCCGCGGGCCCGACGAGATCGGCGTCAACGACACGGGTCCCCAGACCGCCACGACGAGCGCCATGGGCGAGGGCGGCCTCGAGATGCAAGGCATCGACGTCGCCGCCGCCGTCGGTAGGCCGCGCGAGCAAGAGGAGCACCCGCAGGCGCGGAAGCGCTCCTCGACGCCGGAGGAAGGGGGCGAGCACGCCGACGCCGAGACGGAGTCGACGGCCACCGAGGAGGAGGCCACGGGGACGAAGCGCGAGGCGGAGGATGCGGCGGAGAGGGAGCCTGCAAAGAAGGTCAAGGAAGAATAAAGGCGCGGGAAAAGACAAGGAGTAAATGCAAAGATGGCAATGATTTGTGATGATGGGGGCTGTTTGTTTTGTTTCGTTTCCAACATTGGGAACATTTTCGGGACATTTCTTTTTTGTTTCATCTTACCTCTCTGGCGTGAACAAGGGAATTGGGGGTCTGCATTTGTTTGTACAAAATCTATGGCAGGCTTTCTGCTTCGTAGCCAAGATATCTCGACACAATTAAACACGAAAGAGATCATAACAAGGCAACTATGAATCTTACATTGTCTGTTAAAGCGCGCGCTGACAAAGTTGAATTACACAGAAGGTGTATTACATAAACGAGGTATTGCATAGGAGATGAAATGCAGGATTTTGTCTCATTTGATAAATTCATTATACGAGCCTAAATGTACATCGTAGAAAAAGATGCTGTAAAAACAAACCCATGCACGAACACAGAGACACGCAGACACTACAGACACACAAGTGCACACGCGCTAGAAAATCTTGGTGATGCTCTCGCGCGAAATGACACTGTTCTGCTTGTCGTCGCGCTTTACGCGGAAGAAGCTGTCACAAAAGTCGCTGCAGCGCATGTGCCGCAAAAAGTCCTCGTCGTGGGTGATGACGATGAGCTGAAAGTTGCTCTGGGCTTGACGGGCGCGGATGATGGCGTGCAGGCTCTCGGCGAGGCTCTTGATGTTGTCACGGTCGAGGTTGGTCGTCGGTTCGTCGAGGGCGACGAGACCGCAGTTGACGCCGAACGACTCGGCCAGTGCGAGACGCACGATGATGCTGGCCAGCACCTTTTGGCCCGCCGAGCAGCGTCCGCGCATGTCCATCTCGGCGTCCTGCTTGACCATGCACAGTCGGTAGTTGTAGTTGCGCCGCCCCGTCGTGCCCTCATTGTCGGACCGGATCAAGATCGTGTCAATGTCGGTGCCCTGGTACGTGCTCTGCCACAGCTCCCCCGCGATGCGGTTCACCTCAGCCATCTTCATCGCGTGGAACTGCATTACAGCCTTGTCCACGGCCGCGCCGCACTGTGCGAGGTCCTCGATTGCAGCCTTGGTTGTCTCTACGCGGATGTGCGACTCTCGGTACTTTTGCTTTGCATCTTTGTAGTCCATCTCCCACTCCTTGAGAAGTCGGTCCAGCTCCTCGTCTTTGGTCTTCATTGCTCCCATGACTGAGCCTCGTTCTGCAAAGAGCCTGTTGGACTGATTCTCGAGTGTACGTGCTTCGGCCTGCAAACGCTCATAGTCCTCATGGGCATTCCGATCTTCCAGCTCCTGAATATCCTCTCGTAAAACCTCGAGCGTTCTCAGGTGTTTGCGGTAGTTGAGATTGTCATTAATATTTATCTTTGTGCGGTCACCGTTGTCGATGTCTTGCTTCAGCTTGTTGGTCCGTTCAGTCAGCTCTGCAATTTCTGTTTCCGTCGTCGTAATGTTCTGCTCTAGAGTCGCAATAGCCCTCTGATTCGAGGCTAGATTCGAGGCACCGCCACGATCCTCATAGTCTTGAATGTCCGATTCAATCATCTTAATTTCGTTGATTGACGTGGCGACAGAATCTCGATTGTCGGTTATTGTTTGCTCTTTTGCCCTCCCACGCTTCAGAGTCTCATCGCGAATAGAACGTGCTTCCACGATTCGAGGCTCGACCTTTCCCAGCTCCTCATCAGCACGCTGGATAGTTTCGCGTTGGTGAGCCTGCTCCTCCTTGAGACTCTGTATCTGGCTAAGTAGATCCTTCTTTTTATCGAGCTGGCCTGAAGTGAGGCTGATCTTGTTCCGCAATTCGCTCTTCTCAAGCTCAAGGGCACTAATTTGGTCACGAGCCCGTTGCCTGTCGTTTGTGAGTCTTGCAACGCGATTTTTGCAAGTACGCGTCTGCTCTGAAATAGTGCCCTGCAGTTCGTGAATCTCGTCGGCACTGCGGCCAGTGCCAGCAGACTGCTGCTGGGAGGCAATGCGCTCGACTTGACCCTCGGAGTCTTGAATATCCTTGAGTGTCTGCGCAATATTGTTTACAGTCTTCGCCATGTCGTCCATATCTCGCTGCTTTTCTTCCTCGGCAGCAACGACAGCATCGTGTTCTTCAAGCAGTCTCTCGGTGGACTCGTAATCGCTTTCGATAGACTTGCGCTCATCACGGAGCCCAGGAAGTTCCTTGCCCAATCTCTCATATGTATCGTACTGACTTCGCACGGCAACAAGGGATTGTAGGGTAGATGAGGCCTCGCTCAGGTCCTGCTCGGCTTCGACCTTTGTTTTTGAGTTCAAGTGTCGGTCGATTTTGGCACGCAACCTGTCGATACTAGCCGTCTGGTTGTCGTCAAAGTGCCGATCACAAAGGAGACAGGTCTTCTTTGCGTCAAGCGCCCGCTTGCATTTGGTATAGTAGTCTTTGAGGGCATCAATGAGACTGAGGTCATCTCGCAGAGTCTCTATTTGTTGCTCTGTTGCTGATACTTCTTCCGTGTAGTCTTCTATCACGGCAGAATCTCGAACGTTTTGAAGGGCCGTGAGGACTTGCTTCTTGCATTCATCCTGGTCTGCCTGCTTTTTCTCGTAGGCGTCCTTGACCGTCTTGAGCTTGAAGTCTACTCTGGCTTGCTTTTGGCGGGTCTGCTCTAGTTGTTGACGAGCCTCCTGAAGTGCTCTGTTCTGAGCCGCGAGTAGCGTTTGAAACTTGGGCTCTAGGTCCTCTGGAGACCAGTCGCCGCCTATGACTTTGTCCAGTTTCGCTTTCCAGGTCTCGGTTAGCGTAGTAAGTTTAAGCTTGCGGTCGGAAAGTTCTTTCCTTCTGAAATCCAGCTGGGCTCGTTCAGATGCCAGGCGGGTGCATTCAATGAGCTCTCTTCCCAGTTTATCGCTTTCACTCTCAAGCTGCCCAAGCTTTGTGTTCTCGTCTGAAATTTGCTTGTCCCAAGCTGCAGTCTCAAAGTCTTGCTGAACTTGCGAAAATTTGCTATCCAGCTCTCCGAGCTGACCATCGAGAACAGCCTTCAGACCCTCGTCGACATCTATTGATGACTGTTCGTTCTGCAGCGCCGTTGTTCTCCGCTCGATTGCACCCATCCTTTGCTTTGCGGACACGCGATCTTGAGTTCTAGCAGCCTTTAGACCTTCGAGCTCTGAAATGGTACCAGAGGCTTTGTCAAGCTCCGCTGCATTCTCTTTTTGCAGACGCTCTAGATCTCGCTTTTTTTCCGCCAAAAGTTTTTGAATCTTCTCAGTGAATTGTTTGATGAGCGCATCGGTCAGATCGTCATCGTAGCCGCGGAAGCCATGGCGCTGAGCAGCCTCTTGCACCATTTCCATTCGCATCTTCAGCTGGCGTTCGTGCTTTTCTTTATCCGACTGGTGTTTACCCTGCTCAGCAAGCTTGATAGAAAGACTTTTGCGAGACTTGGAAAGGTCTTCTTGAAGTTCGCTGTATTGTGTCTTGTTTCGGCGCGCCTCTTCGTTTTGACGGCGCATACTCTCCTCGTACTGTATGAGTTGCCGCTCGAGCGATGCGTCGTCCTCGGGAAGCTCCTTGAATGTCTGCCGTAGCTCGTTGACGGCATCTTGCCGGTATTCGAGCTGGTCGCGTTTGTTGCCGAGGTCTTGCACAATGCGCAAAAAGCTGTTTGCTTGCTCGTGCTTCTGCTTAATTCTATCTTGAGTGTCCTGCATGTCAGCTGTGATAGCCTCGCATTTTTCCCGGGCGGCCTCAATCTCAGCTTGTAGGCCGGTCATGCGCTTTTCGGCACGTTCACCACGATCCTTGTTGACCTTGTTATGGGCCTCGTCGTTTTGAAGCTTGCCCAGTTCCTCGACTTGCTTTTTTCGAAGAACCTTGAGATTTTCGATGGCTTTTGTATATTTTAGGGCTTCGAATATCTCATCGAATCGCTTCTTTAAGGCGGCAGGTTCGCTGAGAGGCCACAGAGACTCGTCTTGGTGGCAGAAGATGACGGCATCGAGGATAGCGGGGGAGACGCCGAGTCGCTCGGGGATCATTTCGTCGAGTTGGGCTTGTCTGGTTGAGGTGGTGGTCCTCTCGCCATTGTTGAGGACAACGAGGGAGCAATCGAGTGTCTTTTGCGAGCGGGTTGTCTTCTTCACTGTCAACTGAAGGCTTCTCGTAGCAACATGTTGACGGTCGTTGATGGAACGGAACTGAAGCTTGACCTGGGCCATAACCTCTTTTTCGCCACAGAGCTAGCCAGGGAGTTAGTAAGTCATTGACGCCAGAGGCGAGAGGACAGCACGCACCTTTGGGTCATGAATGAAGGCACCGCCCTTGCTGTTTGGTGGAAGTTCACCAGTTGTCGCGTACTTCAGGCATTCGATGATGGTTGTCTTTCCGGAGCCATTGTAGCCCACGATGAGGGTAAGTGGGGTGTTGAATTGGATGGCTTCACGACAGGCTGGGCTAAATGACCTGACGCCGGAGATGGAGAGTTTCTCGATCCGCGACATTTTGAATGCCTGGAGGAGCGAAGACCATGCACATCCGGGAATGGAAGCTGGCTAGGAAGCATGAAGTTGCTTGGTGTGGGTCAGCTCTAGGCAAGCAGTTGCAGCTAACAAACGCGGTACGATGGTTGTCACGCGTTAATGGTGATGCGTGTTCACGTGCAACAGAATCATGGCGAAAGGGAACAATACGTAATAAGCCAGCTCCCGTACTCGGTGGAAATAATCGGGAAAACAGGTAAAAACCTATGTACAGTGTCTAATTAACCGCAACACATTTTTTATCAAGAAATGATTGACCGATGTTCCATGGTAGAGAATGGAAGCACATGGACAAACGAATGCCTTAGATGTAAGTGCAGAAGCAATGCGGCTGCGTGAGGGGTGACTCGAGGCCTTAGATCTGCACGCATGGCTCTTGTTTATGAAACTACAGTGGCTAGCAAACATACTGCCGCCACTGAAGAAGAGTAAGCTGGCATCTTGTCTTCTAGTTGAGACTGAATCTTAAGGCACTAATAACATCTTAGACTTAGATTAGATGGGCTATTTCTTATCATTTATATCTTAGATTACTATATTCAGCGTTCATATATAGAATATACTGTTAAGGACTGGCCCTACGGCTGCTGCGAGTAGGCGTCGATATGAGGTTAAATTGAATCTCTTACGGAGGGAAGAGACAGGGAGGTTGTTACGGAGTGGCTACTATACATAAGGGGGAGTCCCCCTATCGGGTCCGTGCCTCAGGCCACCAGGCTATCAATCTAGCT